CTTTGCTTCTCTGTTCACTGGGAAGAGCACCTCAAACTCCTCTGTGCATTTCTGTTATGAATTCTTGACCTCTCAGGGGCCCTCCCCCCCCCCCCAACCAGGGATTGAACTCAGGCCCTTGCTCTTGCCAGGGAAGCGCTTATTCTACTGAGCCATCTCCCCAGCCCCTTCTCAGGGGCCCTTATCACAGTCCTTGAGCACTATTTTTCTGTATAATTTCACTTGCCTCGTAAGGATCGTGCCATCTTGGAATGTTGGTGCTTACCAAGTCTATATCTGCATCCAAGACCTCACCATTACCCAGTTGTTTCTCTTTGAGTATCTAACAGACTTTAAATGTAGTGGTGGAGATGATGGCAATTGTGATACTAGGAATTTAGTCCAGGCCTCATGCATCCTACACAGGTGCTATACCGCTAATGATACATACAGCACCTGCCCTCTTAACAGGCATCTCGTAATTAAACTGAAAGCCCAAGTCCAGAGCCTTTATTCCAGATTATTTGTCCCTGTATTCTTTAGCTCAGTACAAGGGAGTTCTTCTCTACTCCTGACTCAGACCACAAACTGCTATCATCCTTGACCTCCCTCTCTGCAGTCAAACCCTGTAGGCTCTTCTTTTTAACTCCTTTGACTGTTCTATTTTGGTTCAAGACCACATCTTCTCCCACCTGGGTTAATTGCAGCGGCTTCCTGTGGGCCTCCCATTTCTGTCCATGACCTTATTTCATTGGTTGCTGCAAGGGTGATCCTTTAAAAATGAACATCTTTACTTTCACCAGCCATGGTGGGCTTCTTGCTGTTCTTCAAACCTGTCAAACTCGGTTCCCTCTCACCTTTTGGCCTTGCTGTTTGTCTGCTTGTAGCTTGCTTCTTCCCAATACTGTATGGCCAGCGCCTTTATTTTCTTTAGATCCTTCCCAAAAGTCTTCTTTTAAGTAAGCTTCTTTCCTGTCCTCATTCACTTACATGTACATGAACATTTTCCCCCTAGGTATCAGAATCTGACTTCTTAAATTTTTATTTTTTCTTTCCTATTAAGTTCTATGAAGGCAAAGATTTCCCTGTCATTCATTTGAAATCCCCAGTCCCTGTTAAATTGTAAGTATCAACCAATATTTATTGAAAGAGTGTATGAGCCCCTGCCCATCCACCTGCCTCATCCTTCCAGATTCATTTTCTGATATCCTGTCCTTTTTGTTTCACTCTGAATGCTCATCTTTTTTCTTTTTGATTGTATTTTAAAATCTCTTATTTATTTACTTATTTGGTTGTTTATTTGTTTATTGAGGTACTGGAGATTAGTCCAGGGCTCTCTCACTGAGCTATATTCTGGGCCCTTTTTATTTTGTATTTTGAGACAAGGTCTCACAAAGTTGCCCAGGCTGTGTTCACATTTGGGATTCTCCTGCCTCAGCCTCCAGACTATTGGGATTATAGTGGTGTTTTATATGATGTTTACTTGTGCCTCAGAACTTTCATACAGTTTGTTATTTTCTGCTTAGAGTACTTTCTTTACTTGTCTAGTTAATTAATGTCTATTCATTCTTTTGCTATCAGCTCAAAAAGTCCTTCCTTCAGAGGAGCTCTGTGTTGAGGCTACTGTGATGGTCTTAGTTTTGCTATCTCGCATTTCACCTTCTGTCTAATTAAACTGAAAACTGCACAAGGCCTGGCCCTGGAGTGTGGAGCTACCAGTTGTATCTTTCTGAATAGTAAAGAGCACTTAGTGGACCTTTATTCTGGCTCTAGTATTCTGCATCTTGCATGCGACAGGTTGCTCTAAAGATCACCTGTACTAGTAATGGCTGTTTCTTGAAAAGTTCTTGGTATTGCATAAACATGATTAATGGGGAGTGTAATATAGTTTAGTGTCATTGGTCAGATGTGGGCCGAAAGTGAGCTTTGTGTTTCTCAGTTGATGCTGTATGAGGATGTGAATCCAGATAGAATCTGCCCATGAGATTCTGGTTTGGGTCAGTGGAAAAGTGTGGGTGTTCTGATTGACTCGAGGCTATGTAAATAACCCAGTACAATTAGTTGGTTTATTTTATTTTTTTTACCCAGTTTTATTTTTTATTTATTTTTTCATTTATTTATTTATTTTTGACATCAGTTATTTTTATTTTAAAGAAAAAAAAATAAAAACAATGGTACAAAGTCTCAAAACAAGATTTTAGGAGAGTAACAATGGTTAGTACATTGTGTATTGTTACTGCCAAAGTAGTTTCTCATGTTACAAGATATAGGCAAGAAATAATAAATAAACAACATAGGTACAAATCTCTTTTTTAAGTCAGTAACAAATGGAAATATACTTTTTAAAGTTTCTAATACTAGGAGAAGATACCATACAATGTCTTTTGAATAAATTGTAAGTCAAAGATACAGTATAAATCTTAGAATAAAAATTAAGATTAAGCAATATTCAGAAAATTAAACGTTTCCAAACAATTGAACTCAGAAAAAATTTTCATGATAACAAAGAAGTACTAAGAGTAAAACGTAAGATAAATACTGGAATGGCAA